TATAAGCTTTATACATCCAAATAAGTTCGATTTGGTAGGACGAACATTTTTAAAAATGTGGAGCTTATCTAATAAGTTTCCTTAAGTAACTTTCAAAATAAGTCTGGTGAAATTTCTATTGCAGCTGCTTATCAATTAATTTTAAACTAGTATCGTGGCCCGTGCAAATGCACGGAACTATTAAAAGTAAATGAAATAAGGAAACATAAATAGAATAAATAATTTTTATATGCAATTAAAATAGACTACTATATACAATGTTTATATCTGTATATTTTATTTCTCATTATATATCAGTATCTTGTGTCTTTTTATTTGTAACTCGAGAAGCAATAATGTAATGTTTAGAATTAAAAGCCTAAAAGTAAATTCCTATATATATATATTCTTTAGTTTTTTTATTAATAGAACAAATTGCATAGTATTAACGATTTTTTTATATAGTTTTTTATATAGTTTTGATAAACGAAAATTTGAGTAACTAAATTGATTAATTGGAACATCATGTACTAAATGCGCAAATATATATAGTTGGGGTATAAGAAAATTCTCTAATTATTTTATTATCTTAGTACATTTTATTACAGTTTGTTTGAATTTATCATATAATTTAGATCATATTTTGACACTTGAATATATTATTTCTTACTTGTCTGGTTTTATAATTTATAATGTAATCTTATTTATTAACTATTATTTTCTATACATATACTTACAATTTCTTTATTTGTGAACTATTCTTTTATTTAAATAAGTACCATATTATTATCTAGTATCTTCTTATTTTTAGGAAGACTTTAAATATAAATTATTATTTAACTTACATTATAAATAATTCACTGTGATTCAACATATCATATACATGTAAAAAGAAATTTACTTTTATATTATGAGAAATCAAAACAGACAAACATTTTAAAATGTCTATCTATAAATGGTAATAACAAATTTAGGTCAATTTTTACTATTAACCTATTATTAAAAAAAATAATAATAAATAACGGAGGTTGAAACACGTTTAATAAAATAATAAAAAATTAAAACTGACTTTCTATAAATAGTAATATAATGAGGGACCCACTAAACACTTACTATTTTTAGTAAGTGGGTTGCCTAATTATATAGTAATAGATAAGAATGACATTATATGACAAAAAATTTATAATAAAATAATAATGAAGTATTATATGGTGAATAAGAATAAGAAAAAAATGTTATTTGTTCTTATATCAAGAAAAAATAAACATATATACTAAAATAGATTTATATTAGTATAAACGTGTTAACAAGATAATATATTAATTAATTACAATCCAAACTATCTCATGTTTAATGTTATGACTACAAAACCAATGGTTACTAAAAGATGTGGAACGTAAATGCTCCAACTCTATTGATCTATAGGCCCAAATGGACAAACCTTGTAGAAATGACTTATTTGAAATCTTTCTCCGGTATATAGGGTATGTTTGGTAAGCCAAATAAGCTAGCTTATAGCTTATTTGGTTAGCTTATAAGCTCCCTGTTTAAAATAAGTCTTGTTTGGTAGGACGAGCTTTTTTAAAAAGCTCGAGCTTATTTGATAAGCTTCTTTAGGTAGCTTTTCAAATAAGCTAGTTGATTTTTTTTATTCCAGCTAGCTTATCAGCTAGTTTTACCTAACACTTTTATCATATAAGCTAGCTTATCAGCTATAAGTCATAAGCTATAAGCTATAAGCTAAAAAATTACTAATAAGCTATAAGCTAGCTTATCAGCTATCAGCTAGCTTATCAGCTAGTTTTACCAAACATAGCCATAGTATAGGGCTGCTCATTCAATTAAAATTGAATCGAACCGACCGAATTTTTAGTTAACCGAAAATTTGGTTTGTCCATTATCATAACCGAAAACCGAACCAAAATTTATCATAACCGAAAGCCGTGTTTCGGTTTTAGACGGTTCGGCTCGGTTAACCGAACTTTGTGTACCTCTATATATATAGCATTGTTGTAAGAACCGGACCGGACCGGCCGGTTCGACCGGTTGGACCGGGAACCGGACCTAGTACCGGTCCGGTTTGCATGTTTGGGCCGGTGGGAGTAAGAACCGGTATCGAACCGGCCGAACCGGTTCAAAACCGGTAAAACCGGTGAACCGGTACCGGTTCGACCGGTTGAACCGGTTCTGAAAATTTAAAAAAAAAAAATTAATGAAAAAAAAATATTGATTATGTTAATGTTTTAGTGAACTTTATTTAGTATTATTTATGGTAACTATACTTAAAATATTAATTTTTCAACTCTTATTTAGAAAAATGTCATTATATGCTATAAAATTAATGATAAATATGTATATAACTATATATTATACATATAAAATAAATAAATAAATTATATATTAGTTAAACCGGTTGGACCGGTTCGACCACTGGTCCGACCATTGAACCATTGAACCAGTAGCTTCACCGGTTCGATGACCGGTCCGGTTTTGAGAACATTGATATATAGCACTGTATCAATGCCAATAAATTTCAGAAAAAAAAAAAATAAATACGCCAAACACGGCACACCTGAGCACATTGCAGACTGTGTCGGTCAAGTGGAAAGGAGAAATCAAACATGGGGCACGGCGGCTACGGTAATCGCAGAGCCGCCGCCGCCGAGCGGAAGAAACCGGCAGGACAACGGCGTCCTAAAGCCCTAACAGTTGACAAGAAGTCCAAGTCCACCAAACCCAAAGCCGTCTCTCTCAAAAATCATATACGCTCCATCGAGCGCATGCTCCGCAAAGTATTTTCTGCTCCCTCACTCTCAGCTTTAAGTAATTGCAAGATCACACTCACACACACACACACACACATATCTTATGCGTATGTGTATGAATTGTGTAAATCTGGGGGGAGAAATTGGTATTCGTTTGATTCTATTAGATGGGCATTGGGTACTGTTGAAGGGGTTGGTGTACAAGTCTGCCGGTGGAGAGTACCGCTCTCTTTGTTTGTACATTTGTTTTTGCTACCAATTCTGAAATTTGCGATGTTCTTTCAGTTCAGTTGTAGCGGGATTTATAGGCATATAGTTAAATTTAGGTCACACTGTTGAAGTTAAAAATCTGTTTATATGTCTATACAACACTAAGTGGAATTGGAATTCGTTCATTGTATTAATGCTCGAAGTGTTGGCATCTTATTAGGGTGTCAATTATCAAATGTAGTTTTGAAGTCAAGGTAATGTGGAGTTTGTTGCCCAGTTACTTTTTGTATACTCGGAAAGAACTCTGACCCTCTCATTAGAGTTAATTTTGCGAGTTTGCAGATGTTTTAATCAAGACCCTGCATTTGTAAAACTAGTTTGCAACCATTACTTTTTTTTTAGAGTTTAAAATGGATCTCAATTTGTTTCTTTTTAGCAAAGTAATTTCTTCCTTGAATTTTCTAATGATTTTGCTGCTAAGCTTGATCCTGGAGTTTGTCATTTTCTTCGCCATGCAACATTTTCCTCTTTTAGTCGTAATATAATTGTTTGACCACCTTATATATTATGCAGGATCTGCCACATGAAGTCAAGGAGGCACAAGAGAAGAAGTTGGAGGGGCTCAAGAAACAACAAGAAATCCAGAACCGTCTGGCTGTGGAGCGAAAAATATTTCTACGGAACAGGAAGATCAAATTTTTTGGTAAGGCTTAGACCTATCAGTCTCAGTAAATTTTCATTTTGTCTAGATGCTCGTAATTAAGAGTTGAAATTGAATTTGTACAACTATAGAAAGAAGAAAGATTGAGCGAAGGATAAGACGGTTGGAAAAGCAGCAGCGTGTTTCAACTGGTCAGGCCCAGGAGGCAGAGATTGCTGATCAGCTAACAAAATTAAAGGAAGATCTTGAATATGTTAGGGTAAGCCACATTTTTTACGTTTATTTTTATTCCATACCATGTCATAATGAACCTGTTTTAACTTGTATCATATCTTCTTCCCCAAGTAGTTTGTTTGTCTTTCACTACTTTCCCTGTAAAATTATAGGTTTCCAATCAGTCAATCATTAATGCTAATTAAGCTGCAAGTACTTCATGTTAACAATGTAGAGCCAACTTAAGTTCCTGCTTTTTGTTATTTAGTTTCACATGATTTTTCCCTAGATTTATGTGTGCTGTCATGAGTTCCGCCCTTTTCTAAGGCAATTTAAATACGGTTTACTAAAGGTCATGGTTGCAAGCACCTTTTTTTTCCCCAATTGGAGTTAGATTAATTTGACTGTAGGTATCACAAGTGTTTTGATTATATGCCAGCAAAATGCTAAATAGCACGGACATACTATCTTAAAGGTTATCTTATCTTGTCTTGTATCCAGATTTTACCTGTATATTCAACTGCTATAAAGATTATTACTAATCCTTTTTTTTTTTTACTTCTCCAAAAATTATTTCCAGTTCTTCCCCAAAAATGAGAAGTATGTTTCCTTGTTTATGGGAGGCGATGATACAGATATTGTAGAAAAGAGAAACAGCTTGCGTAGGCAAATTAAGGCAAATCTAGTTGCAGCTGCAGCAAGTGGGAAGGATTTGGAAGGTGCATCCCTTTTGCTGTTTGATATCCAGCTTTTTTCTTGGTCTTCTCTTGATCATATGGCTTGCATGTCAGTGATAGAACCTCAATAAAGAAACTGAAAAAGACAGTTGAAAAAGATTTCTCAAGACGCAGCTCCTCTATTCGTAATTTTTATCTCTTGGTTCCTGAAAAAAAAAAGAACAAAAAAAAAAACGCAATTACTAATCTTGTTTGTTCCTTTTTTTTTTCTTTGTTTAAGTTATGGGTGCACTGTGCACGCATGGCTTATTATATTCCTATGGGCGCTCCTTTTCCCCTTTCACCGCTTTAAGTATCCATTTTACATTTTTGGCATCCAATCTGTAACAGAAACAGGGAGTGAAGATGATGGGCTTTTGGATCCAAGTGATGATGATTTCTTCTTACATGGAAGCTCCAGCGATGAGGCTGATGCTGATGATGAGTGGACTGACAAAAGCGCTAGGTGCATAATCCAACTGCACGAGTCTTTTTTGTTTTTTCAATATTTGTGCGTAAATAAGCTTGTCTGGTGAACAGAGAGCCTTGATGAATTCACAGGCAGTTTTGCACACCTGATCAACTGCATCCATCATATACGATATCATGCTGAATTATCAGCACTTAATCTTTCAAGTCTCACTAATTTAATTTAATCTGCAGGGAACAAGCCTCCAGTGCCTCGGGTAAGGCTGCTTCTGGGGTGTCTAGTGATGAAAGGAATCAGGTTAGAGCTTGCATTATGCTTTACCTGACAAAATTACCCCTGGTTTATTGTAATGACAGAAGCACTAGTTCTCTCTTAAAATAACAAATGACCCCTTGCTACCTTTCTCTTGTAAAGGTGCACCCTCATGGGATTTTTTTCATTTTGAAAAATAATTGTTTATAATTATATATATGTATCTGTAAAGGATCAAATAGGAACTAAAATATGTTATATGTACTTCTACTACGGTGCATGCAAGTTTCTAAAAAACTAGTAATGGTAAGAGCTTTAGGTTTAATGGCTCACTGGTCGGACTAGTGGTTGAAGCGATATATATCTTTAATATGTATTTTATAGAACTTTATAATAAATTTTATATATAAGATATTTTTAATTAAATATCTAGTTAATTTGAAGCATGTAAATACTTTAAGTAAATGATATAATAATTTGTACATATCTAAAATATATAGTATGCCTTTTTCTACTAAAAAATATATGTAAAATATTAAAACAATTTTTTATAACAAAAAAAAAGAACTAATCTGTGTGGCCAGATTTTTTACCATGTCTAACCTGTCCGACCATTTTTTTGGCTGGTGGTTTTCTGGAGTGGACCGGGTGCCTCACCTTATAACCATGGCTGTATGTAATGCTATAATATACGTATTGAGAAAATACATTGAACTCGTATGTTTGTTAGCGGATGGTGCTAAATTAGTGGATTGAACCTTATTTAGAGGATTAATCAATCAAATATGCTAATTGGCTTGTTTGGTAATTAACTTTTTTGATTAGCTTTTTGGACCCAAAACACTAGTTTTGAAAAAAGCTAAAAAAAACCTGCATTTTGGAAATTGAGGATTCAGAAAAAAGGAAATACAATGTATCAATTGTAAACTTCAGCTATTTAGCTAACACTTATTTAACAAACTGCTAAATAATTCAGTTATTATCCCGCTATTTTTATTAGTAAATTCCCCAACAAGGCCACCACTATTATACGTGTGTTGACCACATTGCTAAAGTAATTTAATTTTATTCGCTGCTAAAGTAATGATATCGTCATTGTATTTTAGCAAGGTTTATAGTTCTCACGTTAAGAATAGTTTCTACTAGGTGCTAATATATATATTGCATTGTATATATAAATATATATTATATTAGGTTGTCTTGGAGTTTGACCCTTATGTTGCTAATATCTCAAGGTTATAGCTTTTTACTGGTTAAATTTTGTGATTCTCAGAGTCAGAGACAGATTTTAGCTCGTGCTCTAATGCCTCCTCCCGGTCCATCCTGCAAACAGTTTTCTAGTTCAGTGAAAAAAAAATCGAGATTTGCTGGTTCTTCTAATAACTCGTATAAGAGAGGTGATGTGTTTACATCAAGCAACACATCCAGTAGTTTTGATCGATCTTTGTCAAGAAAGAGAGGGTTGATGGGCTCGACCACCGGAAACAGCGGTAATCAAAGTTCCAATTCGGATGCCAGAAAACCTCGAAGAAAGAGGAGGCCCAAGAAGAAGAAGCAACAGGAGTAAAGATTTTGGGTTATGAAATGCGTGTCATTGACGTTTGGGAAACCTTTATTTGAGTAATGAACCATGTTATTCAAACATTCACTTTTCTGTTAGAGCCCATGTTTTGTGTTTTTATCATTTACATTTATATAGCTTACAAAACTTGTTTTGTGTTGCTGCCATTTACATTTATAAATCTTGCAATTTTACTTTGCGCAAGTATTTAAAATGGCTACTTTGCACAAGTTCAACCTCATGCATGTTGGGATGATAATAAAAGTTCACGCTAGATACATTTTAGTGATTATTTTTGAAGGATTTTAAATATTTGAAATTCACTGCGATATGCGATAACATACCAAGTCGACTACGACTTAAGGAACAGTCTAACTAAACTGGGTGGCTTGGTAGGTTGATCGAACATCAAGGACACGAGGGGTTGAAGAACTATTAGGTCGATGGTAGGTTGATCAAACATCAAGGACACCAGGGGTTGAAGAACTATCAGGTCGATGGTGAGGTCGATGGTGACCTCATTGGTAAAGGAGCTCATCAACTGGTCGAGCTAGGAGTCTCGACTAGCTTGATAGAAATTTGACTTGGAGCCAATCAGATCGATAGCAAAACTTAAGAGGTAAAGCTTACACACTGAAGGTCAAAGCAATTTGGTTCAAGAAAAGTTGAGTTTGTCGCACAGTTAGACGTCTAATGAGATAGGCTAATGTGAACACACTACATAAGGGATAAGAAAAAATATTATTAGGATGAGAAGCACACGTGGATAGGACTATGTGGCCTAACAGAATTGGGCAGTTTGGGCACTCAGACAATACGAACGGAGAGCAATCAGGCAGCCTAATTGGACAGTCTTAGGCAATAAGGTAACACTCTCTTATATAAGGGAGTGGGGGCATTTCAGCCAAACACTACACACTTTTATGTACTTACAAACTATACAATTATTATTCATCATTTTTTCCATCCACATACTGACTTGATCATCGGAGTCTCTACGTATGGACCACTCCCGACGTTGTTTTGCAAGTCTATCGAACCATTCGAGAGAGTATCAAGGTCGTTCGAGTCTAGTCGAGCTTGCTTACACACCATTTTGATGTCGTTTGTTGGGATTTCGTTCAAAAACCCATCAAAACATCATAGCCATGACGAATGAAGATCCCCCGAGATATTTGGAGTCCACATTTGACGAGGTTTGGGTCTCCAAACGTCCTTTAGAAGCAGGCCCACCGCCAAGCTTTTCGAGGTCAGTTCAAACAACAACGACCCCCATGACTGGCCAGGTTGTTGAAATTTTGCTTTTTCTTTAACCAGGTTCGCTTCTTACAAGACTCGACTTGCTTAGAGTCCACCAACGGAGGCACATGGGGAGGTTCAACGGAAGCCAACTGGACAGGAGGAGGAATTTGTTGCACCTCGGCACTATTTTAGCGGTAGCCTCCGACTACCTGGATTGTTTGCTTGAGGATATCGAGCCAGACTGTACAAAGACAAGTAGAGAATATGTAAAAAAATCAAAATAAAGCACGAGTTAAAACTAAGATAAGAAAGTTAACAAGTGCAGAGAGGACCTCGGAGGCTGAACTCTACCTAGGTTACACTACCACTGCAGCGAAGGCAAACCACAGTACGACCTCAGTTACGGATTATCGGTCAAACGATTGAGGTTAAAAGGGGTGTAAGACTTATTTGTGTTGGGGGCTTAAGTTGGTCAATGGTGTTCGGAGTGTTGGGTTCTGTGAGGCACGTCGACGACCATTCTTTGAATCGACTGAGAATCTAAAATACTAATCCTATGTGCATCAGAAACTAATAGTAGGATTTGAAACTTACCATTTAAATTTTTCCGACATTGTATAGACATACACGACCAACATGGCCGGATGAATGGTTCTGAGTTGTTCTTCACACCAGATTTCTCGTCCTCTCGCCTCGTTGTTGGTCGCATCATGTTGTGAACGTCAGAGCCAATTGCCGGAGCCATTGCCCGAAAAAGCGTTAAAGATGGAATCGGGACGAAAAACGGCAAAAATAGGGTGCAGTCAGGGTCACACGACTCGTGTTGTATGTGACACGAGTCGTGTGAGGTGAGAAA